GCACAGTAAAAAGAGATTGAGCTTCTACCATTAGCCTCTGTGGGAAAATGAAGGTAGATTCCCCAGGTGGCTAATGCCCTATTAAAATCACATGCCTCATTTGGATTTGGCTAGCTATAACATCCATTGCCACGTTGAGATGCTCCTGCTCTCCCAGATCTCAGAACCTCTTGCTAGCTAATGCATCCTCCTTGCAAATGTGCTTCATAGGTGAAACCTGTTCAAATTAGCTCCACAGCTTTCATGGAGGCTCTTTCTTTTAAGACTGCGTCTCATCAGTGTGTCTATACCTCATCTCCCTGCTCTCCTTTCCTCCGAGTACCTCAGTGGTACCTTGTCCCTTGCACCACACTGCTGGAATGTTTCAGTGTAAACTCTCTAAGTCTGACCCCTAAAATTGCTTCTATCCACAACCAGAGGTAGATGCTGCAATGAACACACAACTTTTGGGTACCTAGCTGCCTAGCAAAGCCGTAAGCCCTGTCAGCTGCCTGGATTTGCAAATGTGAAAAAATTGGCACAGAGGAACAGCTGCCAACAGCAGCAGGGTGATCGCCACAGTTACCAACACACAGAAAAATACATGTCTAATGGCAAAGGAGGGAAGGGATTTTCTTCTAAAAACCACCAGTCCAAGAGGGAATTTTGGACGCAGGTCTTCATGTGAAGGCAGTTCTAGGTGCTACAGCCAAGAGCCCAGGGCCTAACTGACCTTACCTTCTCAGCAGTTCCCCACTGATTCCATCACGCAGGTGGGACTTAGAGACAACCTCTTTGGGAGCTCTCCATATCCTCCCTAGCAGGGATGGACAGCCTGGGGGAGTAAAGTCTGCTGATGGGACCTTGGTCATTTGTGGATTCAGCCCCTACAAAAGTGTATGTATCCAGGGGTGTTATGTATAATACAGTGTGTGCTCAAAGATACAAATTTTACACCCAAGTCTCTGAAATGTGCAGTGTGGGATTTCAGTCCCTTCCTGTGGATACATCCAGACACGAGAGGATACAACAGCAGGCTGCCTGCCCAGCATGGAACAGACATTACAGCATATGACATCACTGGAACTAGTGACCGACACACAGTGCTGCTGGAGTCTTTTCTTTCCATTATGCACCATTGTCCCTGGAAGTTTTTGTTTGCCTTCTGACATGCCGAGGGTGTAGCAGCACAGTGCCCTACCTCTCCCTCCTGTTTTGCAGAGGTGAGCTGGCAGCACTCTGGAGCCTGGCAGGCAGGAGCTGCCAGCTGGCCGTCTTCATTGTACCCTGATAAGGCTTCTCCAATAGACTCTCTGTTTGGGGAGAAGGATTGTGCACAGCACAGTGGAACAGATATCATGGCACATTATGCTGACTTCTCCCAACCAGCTTTTAATTTATGACAGCATTTTTACCTCTCAGATCTGCTTTCAGCCCTTGCTTTGCCTCAGTCCTTGCTTTGCTCTGCCTCAGCTCTCACAAGCCACGTTATCAGCAGCTTTCAGATACTAAAACACATTAAAGGAAGGTACTGAAAGGTGATCCAGCAGTCACGTTTTCCAGAAATCTCAGCTTTCAGGTAACAAAAGATTCCTACAGTAACAAGGCAGCTGCAAACACAAGTCTAATGTGACCAACCTCGTACCAGAAAGCAGAGGGAAGCCACCAAGCTTCGTCCTCAGCTGCTGCCTCCCCAGTACCACCTCTGAAGCTTGATGGCAGCGTTTCAATGCCACACTCAACATTACCTCTCTGAGCAGTGATAACTATAATGGCTGAAATAAAGAACAGAAGGGGAGCAAACCACCAAAGAGAGCTGAAAATCTCCCCTGTCTCTTCCCAGTTATAACAGAAGGTTTGCAGGCATGCCAAGAGAGTGGAACGATGCTCAGCAAGAAGGAAGTTTTATTGACACAGCTAAGGCAGCAGCTATTCCCACCCTTCAGAGGTGACTGATGTAATTTGGAGATCCACTAGAAACCAGACAGTTACATTGGGATCCCAACCACGAACATTCTATCCCTGCTGCTGGGGTTATCAAGACAAACTGATTCTCAAGCCAAGACTGCAGGTTAGCATAGGGATCTTGACAGGCAGCACCAGCAGCAAAGTGGGACAGGTTAGCATCGCTCCCGAAAGGACAGGCCCATGGCTGGCCAGAGGTAAAAGCCCTTCCAGGTACAAGTTGTCCTGTAGCTGGAAGATTGCCATATGGTTTGAGTTTTGACTTGTATGCTAAAATCCTGTATTTCATCATTCCTTAAAAGGGGAAACCTTCTAAAACTGGAAAAGAAGGCTGGAGGAGAAGAGGTGGGACTCAGCCTACCTGGAAGCTCCTGTTCCCACATGCAGTGCAAAACCTTTTGTGGCAAGGGCCCAGCTGAGGGAAATGAGGTGCCAGGCAGCACTCAGGACTCAACCTTGAGTGCACCGAGGAGCAGGCACAGCAGTGGGACCACCTCCTAGGGATGCAAGAGCCACAAAGCTGGGTCAGACCCATAGTCCATCTAAGCCCAGATACCAGTTTCCAGTGCAGGGTGAGGAAAGAGGAGTTTGTGACCAGGGCAAGTGAGCAGTGATCCCTCCTCACAACGCTCTCCAGGCTTTAGCAGTTCACAGCTTGTGGATGTACTGAGTCAGTTGTGTTTACCAACCACTACAAAACCCATTTTTCCTTGTGCATACAGCTGGGTTTTCAACCTTTATAAGTTGCTAACATCCACTGTATCCTGCAGAAAGGAGTTTCATGGCTACCTATACTTTTGGTGCATTTGATGGACCCTAGGGTTTTCATTTTTTGTGTTCGTTGGAAAAGAGCAAGCAGTTGTTCTCTGTGCATCTTCTCCATGCCACTAACAACTTTACACACTGTAATATCACTTCTTTCCACATGGTCTCTTTTCCAGGCTCTAAGAGGCTCTAGCTGTTTCTTCCACTGAAACCATTCCATAACTTAGGATGTATTTGTCCTCTCTGAACATTTCTCAGTTGTACAATCTTTATTCAGATGGGGGGCAATAGAAATGCAGTATTGAAGCAATAATTTCTTCCCTTGGGTGCTATTGCACCCAGCATTTATTTAATTATTCTGAAAGACACCAGAAAACTTCCCTCGGGTCCCGTATATTTGGCAACCCAGACCTCACCACACAAGCCTGGATTGAGACAGTTGCATTCAGAGGCTCCTCTCTGCCCTAATTCACTGGGAAGCATGGGGAAAAAGTCATTTTCAACTACAAAGATATTTGGTTAATGGCTATTCAATACAAAACGACAGTCAGCCCCACCCTCCCCCACCAGAGTTATAGTAAATGAAATACACAGACAGAGAAACCCTAAAAAGCGGAAGATAACCAGGGCTGCAACAAAGACCAGGACTCCTGAGATGCAGAGATTGAACCATTACAGGAACCACTCAAATGCAACCTTGAAGAGCTTCAGCCAGAAACTTTGCAACTGATAAAAAGGCAGTATTATCATGGGCTTCGTGGGAAGGAACAAATTTATGATGGGATGTTTGAGGGTGTGTGACTGTGTAAACTTTATCATGCAATGTGTTAAGGAAGATTATGGGAGGAAAACTTACTATGGGATGTTTCGGGGAAGGATTGAAGGAGGGGAAAGGGAGGCATCAAGCTAAATCAGGGAGAAGTGAATATGGGAAATGGGAAATGGAGACAAGGAATAAATAGAAGGAGCCAGTCACACAGAGAATGGCTGCTGGTCAGCATGCCCCTCTGTCTGAGCCCTGCTCCCGATTACCACCATCTGTCCTGGCCTTGTATTAAACTAATCCCAGCTGTTTCCTCTGCACGTATGCACGTTGGTGATGTGTTAGCTCACTGCAACCTGGTCTAGCCTGGAAGTAGGAAAAGAGGTCTGAGGACCAGCTACCAGCAACCCATGAAAGTGTGGGCAGATAATCCACTAGGCATGGTCTAAGTTTCATGGGCCAGGGATTAAGAACAGGGTTAGGCCCCTTTTGTTATTCATGCTTTATGAGTGCTGTCTGTTTCCCTGGGTACTCACCACAGTAGTTTTCCTCAGTTTCTGCTCATTGGTCTGTGCCTGCTTGCATCAGTAATGCATGTGTGTGTGTCTGACAGGGGTTCTGAACCACCTGCTGAACCTGGTAACGTGGGAAAGCTGCAGTCTCACATGTAGCATAGCAGACCAGGACAGAAACGATTCCCTAGGTCTTACAGCCTACTGCATTCAGCTGTCCTTAACACCAAACACTGAAACAGCACAAGTTCTCCCACGAACTCAAAGCTTGGCAAGGAAAAAAAATCAAGGTAAAGCCTTCTGTGGGCTGAGCTAGTGAGACAATTACAGAAACAAGAGATATGCCTCAAGTCTGTTACACACCCAACTCCACGCACGCTGTGGTAGAACAAAAGATTTTTCTAAGCACACTTAGAAAACTTACTATTAAGGAATTGCCTCTAGAAAAAGATTTATTCACTGGAGAGCAGAACCAAAGAGAATATCCCTCACACTGACAACAGAAAGGGACCTAGGGTGATGTTTAAATAGAAACAGCCCAGACCACTGTTTGGTATGTCTTGAGGAGAAACAGCCACATTTGGGTGAACAAACAAGCAAAAAGAAACAGGATTGTACAGCTCCAGAACCAAGAGCAATCTCTGCTCCAGTCTGGGAGGCCAAGAACCAAGAGACTGCTGGGGACCAGCAAAAGAGTGAAATGGGGACAGTCACAACAGTGAAGTGGTAGCACTTAGTGACAAAAGGGAACTAGGGAACAGCACAGGACCAGTGCCTAGGAGCTCCAGCCTGACAACACACTCAGCTGGACAGGCACCACATAATACAGCCTTCCTGCAGGGAGCTAGGATTTCAACTCCCACTGCTTCTTCACAACCACATTGCAGGGGATAAGGACAGACACCAGAAATGCCAGGGCATCAGCAAGGAGTGGAAGGGGAGTAAGGTGGGACATGGCAGAATTCCCTGTTCAAGAGAATGTTTCAGAATGTATTCCATGTTTAAGGGAAAAGGACTTGAGCAAGAATATAAAACTTTTAATGGGTCAGTGCATCAGTCCTTGATGCAGAGGGAAAGGAGCAAAGGGGGCTATCGCTGTCCCAGGTGTCCAGAGCTGCAGAGATGATCTGCACAGAGTAGCACAGTGGTGGTACACACATAGCTGCAGCAGCCTTTGCTCTCCGAGGAAGGGACCAACACCTGGAAAAGCAGTTCCTCTCACTGTCCATTTGGTTTCACTCTATGTTTCTTCTTCCTGGTAGGGATTTTAGGACGCATCATTTTGGGAGAAGGCCGGACAGCCTTTAAGGGTCTCCTCTGTGCCTGCAATGAATGTTTCTTCTTCAAAGTCGGTTGTGGCAGCTTCTGCTCTTTGTCAGCTTTTGATCCCTCAAGTTTCTTCTTTTTTGGCGGAGGTTCCATGTTGGTCTCAGGGACAGCAGACAGAGTTGCTGCTTCTGCAGCAGGTTCTTCATCTGAAAGGAGAGAAAGGCGCTGTAAGAAGCATCCCCATGGCTTTTGCAGGGGAAGGAGCATGTGAGAGCAGCCCTGGGCAACTCAGCCAAGTTCCAGCACTACGTTACCTTTCTGTGCCTGAGGAATGGCATTAGAGAATTTCTTGAATTTTGCAATGAAGAACCCATCCATATTGTGTGCGTGGGGATAGAAACGCCGCGTAGACTTGAGGGAGGGATGGAAGCGACGGTCCTTGAACCTGGGAAAGGAAGTGGGGTGAGAACTGATAGAATATCTCTGCTCAAGCCTGGCCGCTAGGGAACAGTCACCTGTGCAGCTTGTGACCTGGCACGCACCTGGTGAAGCCTTCCTTGCCAAAGTCCAGGCCTGTGGCCACCAAACGGACGTTGCGTTTCTTCAGGGCATAATCCACAACCCACTCATTCTCCTCCACCTGCCAGGGGCTCAGCATTAGGATCCAAAACTCACCAGTCCCCTGAGGGTGAGGTGACCGCAGAAGAGCATGGAAAGGACTTACCATGATGGAACAAGTGCAGTAGACAACATAGCCCCCTGTCTCTGAGGCAGCATTGACTGAATCTATAGCGCTAAGAATCAGCTCCTTCTGCAGGTGAGCACAGCGCAGGATGTCTTTCTCATCCTGTAAGAGAAAGATAGGTTAAGATGCCAGAGGCATAAGGAAGAACCCCAGGCCTTTACTGTGGATGGAAGACATGACAGGAGAACAAAGCACACACGATATACAAGATTCTGGAGAACTTGCAGAACTAATCTCAAAAAACTAGCTCTGGTACAACACACAGAATAGGAAAGAGATGGAAAAATCAGTGTCTCTATTGCAGGCATCTCTCAAGAAAAAAGCTGTCCCAAAGTCCTTCCTCTCATGACTCATCCTTGAGTCCCCACTGGTCACTCACCTTGTTGGTTTTGACAGCAGGATCCTTGGAAATGACACCTGTTCCGCTACAAGGAGCATCAAGCAAGACACGGTCGAACCCTCCAAGCACCTACAGACAGATGTACATTGGAATTACACTCACAGTGTGAACTCAGAACAAGACCAAGACTAGAATGGGAACCAGAAGACTGGAAAGGCAGGAAAGATTCCTCCTTCCTCCCTGTCCATCTTCCTGCCTCCGTTTCAAATAACAAACACACTCCCCAGCAGCTCTGCTCATCCTCCTGTGACAAGTGGCTTTGGAGAACACAGCTTTACTAAGGGGACATCACAACAGCTCTAGGTAAGTATGGTAAAGACACCTCAAAACAGGCAGGAGCATACCTTGGGGAACTGGCGTCCATCGCAGTTACTCACGACAGTGTTGGTGACTCCCAGCCGATGCAGATTCCCTACCACGCTGCGCAGCCGCTCGGCATTGCTGTCGTTGGCCAAGATCATACCTGTGTTCTTCATAAGCTGAGCTGACAGAGGGCAAAACACATCAGCAAGGGGCTGCAAACCTCCCACACTTTGGTCTGTAGGGACAGCTACCCCCTCCTTTCCTTAAATTCAGTCCCCCTCTATTCCCCGTTTCTGTATAGACCAGTGGAAACTCATCACTTCACAGAGCATCCCTCCCAAGGCTCCAGGGCGGTACCTATGTAGCTGGTCTTGCCTCCTGGGGCACAGCACATATCCAGGATGCGCTCATTCTCCTGTGGAGCCAGAGCCATGACAGGGAGAAGACTGGAGGCTCCTTGCAGCATGTAGTGTCCAGCCAGATACTCAGGGGTGGCACCTGAGCAAGGAAGGCAGAACAGAAGAAGATGACATGTGACAGAAAGGGAAGCAAGAGCGGGTCAGCTCAGCCCTACAGCTGGAAGGGTGATCTCACCGATGGGCACAGAGGAGTCATAAATAACAAGTCCTGTTTTCGACCACTTCCCCAAGGGGTCAAGATTCACGCCACGGTTGATCAGAGCCTGCAAGACAAGAAGGGACTGAAACACTGCTTCCTGTGACAGGAGGTGCAGGAGACAACCCCTGGTTCCTGCTCACCTGCGCCAGGTCCCGTCGCCGTGTCTTCAGTGTGTTGGTGCGAATAGTCACAGGGCGGGGAACCTCATTGGCTTCCAGGAAGTTTATCAGCTGGATGAAAGAAGGGGCAGAGAATACAGACAAAAAATGAAGACCCAGGGAGGCAGCCAAATCCTCACCAGTCAGCAAAGCTATGGGAAGGGAAGGATCCCACCTCAGGGAGTGGGAAGATGTCCATGAGCTTCATGAGCAGGAAATCACTATAGGAATAGTAGGCAGCCATGTCCCGGCGCAGCAACGCCAGGTACTCTTGCCGCGTGCGTCCCTCCTCCCGCTTCACCGCGAAGTCCTGCAGCACCTCCATGTTGCCCTTGATGCGCTGGTGAATGACGTGCAGGTCGGGTGGCTCAGCAGGTAGGAAAACCATTAAGGAATCATGAACAGACAAGAAACTCTCACAGAGGCTCTTTACAAGTACAATGAGTCGTGCAGGACTCATGCGCCACAAGAGCACATGTGCCAGAAAGGCTTTGTGGGAATACACCCTCTCGGCAGAACTCAGCAGAGCAGGGAATCAAAGGATGGAATTGGACAAAAAAGTTCCCAAGGCAGGACTACAAGGTGTTTAAAAGAATTGGGTTGGTTACTTTTAGATAAACAGAAAAAGAATAGGAAAAATAAAAGATCCAACAAAAGAAGTCTTTTAATAGTGAAAACATTATCTGTATCAGAAAGGAGACTAGAAGTTCCCCAAGGGCAACCAAGGGATACAGAGGGGAACGAGAAGAGACAGGATTAAATTGTACTGGGAGGCAGGAAATTAAAATCACCAAAGTCCAGGAGCAAGCACTTTGGATGCTGGAATTGCTGTCATCAGAGGCTCTAGGAATGGGTTACACAAACACCTGCCAGGCAAATCAGGGTAGAGAAAAACAAACTACGTGATAAGATATCCATATGTATTTAGGACTAGAAAAGAAATTAGGGCAGGCTTCAAGCCCCATACAGGGTGTAACAGATTTCCTAACTGTGCTGTACAGAAGCACAGCATTATATACTATCTATTAGGACAGCTCATCTAAAAATACATTGTCACGCGCAAACCCTCTCGCTAAGCAATATGCATGATAAAAGTCCAAGTGAAGCTCTTTGATTGTATCCAGGCCCTGTGCTGCATGCCTATGGCTTATGGATGTCACAGATAAAAAGGATATTCTCTTTCTCAATCTCTTCATTAGATGGCAGTTTAAACTGTTCATCTATATCTAGGTTGAGCTGCAGATCTGGGTTCTCTTCCTCCTTCTGTCCCATTTTCTGTCTGCCTATTGTCTCTGCTGCCTCTTCCTCCTCCTCTTCCTCCTCCTCTTCCTCTTCACTGTCATCTTCACTGAGGCCTTCCCTAAGGACAAAGAACAGGACAGATGCTTTACACAAGAAGAGAATCACACAGACACTTCACAACTACCACTTCTTAGATGGCAGAAAGGGTGGAAGAATAAACAACACAGGCTCCTCATCTAGCCAGGAAAGGCTCTGCAGCCTGGTGATGTTCTCATATCCTCACCTGTCAGGCTTCTGCTTCAGGGCAGCTTTTTCAATAGGCAGCAACTAAAGACAGACAAAAGATTAATCAAGCATCCATCCACAGCTGCCCCCTTACTTCCCACTATCTGTGAAATTTACTTGCTCTGTTTAAAAAGGACAACAAACAAAAGCACTTAATGTTACACTACTAAACTTGAAATTGTTCTTTTGAAAGTAAGAAGGGGAAAGCACTCCACCACCTCACCATCCTCCCCTCCCCCCAGTAAAACCATCCTTTTTCCCCAGGCCTGATGGGTCCTTTCAGCCAGCAACATCAAGTATTTCTTGTAGAATTATGAGCAGAAAGTTCCTACCTCTTCTTCTTCTGATGATGAGGCACCGTAATCATCGACCATCTCCTCGCTGCTCCCATCCTCCTCCTCCATCTCCCAGTTGCCCTCTTCCACCTCACCATCGCTGGATAACTCCACATGGTTTCCTTTAGATCGGATTTTCTTGGCTTTGGCTGGAGCCAGCCATTTTGAATTGTCATCACTGAAACCAGATTGGCCACGAGTGGTTTGTCCTGCTGCCTTTACGGCACATTTCTTCTGTGTGGACACCTGCTCTTTAACTATGGGCAGAAAAAGCAGATAAAAATTAGGGATTATTCCCAAAAGCAGCTGCTCTGTTTCTCCAGTTGTTATACAAAAAGGCCTTCATTTGAGTCCTGAGCTGCCTGTCCAAGAGAAGGGACTGCTTGCTCTCCAAATCTCAATTATAAAGAAGGGCATATTCTCACCTCTCCCCTAGTGAAACCTTAGGGAAATCTAACTAGAACTACCAAACTAAAGCACTGCTACAAAATTCTTCCTCTGACATATTACAGTGCCCTCCTTCCCAAATCTTTGTCTATCCTTCCTTCTTCCTACTGCAACAGCTTCCTGGGCTACACAGGGCATAACACAGTGATTTAAAAACCTCAGCTACACAACTGGCCTGCAACGACCTTGCTGTGAAGGGAGGATAAGTCAGAAATGGATTTAACACATAGAAGAGAGACCTTTTACTAGTTCTTCAGACAGCACTGCTGCCTGGCATGGCAACCATCAGAAATCAGGTAGAATTCATTGTTATTATCTATTAGAGAGCATCCAAGGGAGGGCCGTGAAGATGGTGAAGGGCCTTGAGGGGAAGCCTTTGAGGGGAAGCCGTATGAGGAGCAGCTGAGATCACTTGGTCTGTTCAGCCTGCAGAAGAGGAGACTGAGGGGAGACTTTACTCCAGTTACAACTTCCTTGTGAGAGGAAGAGGAGAAACAGGCATTGATCTCTTCTCTGTGGTGACCAGTGAGAGAACTCAAGGGAATGGCCTAAAGTTGTGTCAGAGGAGGTTTAGGTTGGATATTAGGAAAAGGTTCTTCACTCAGAGGGTGGTTGGGTACTGGAACAGGCTCCCGAGGGCAGTGGTCACAGAGCCAAGCCTTACAGAGTTCATTGGTCTCAGCCACACGATGTGATTCTTGGGGACGGTCTGGTCCTGTGCAGGGCCAGGAGTTGTACTCGATCCTTGTGGGTCCCTTCCAACTCAGGATATTCTATGACTTCATGACTTAAAATAATGAAATTCCACCTGTCCCGTGCCGTAAAAAAGAGGCCGGAGCCTGACTGTGGTGGTGGGGATACGCCGGGGAGCAGCAGGACAGATGGGCTACGGGCCCGTCACCCCGGTTCGGACACCGCTCCCACTCACCTGCCGGCTCCCGCCCTCCTCCTCCTCCTCCTGCTCCGAGCGGCCTCTTCCCCGCCGGGCCACTGACCGCTCCCAGCCGCCTCTTCGCAGCCCTAGACCGGGAGGGGAAGCGGTGATCAGCCCCGGCTCGGTCCAGCTCCCCCCGCCCCGCCGGGCCGCCCCCCTCACCTCTTTCTCCCGTGACTGGAGAGCTTCTTCCTGCCGGTCTCCGGCTCTGCGGGAAGATACGCGGCGGTCAGGCGGCCCCAGGCGCCGTGGGGCGGCCGCGGGCCTGCTCGGGCCGGACTTACCTGGCGGCAGGAAGCGGGCCAGCTCCACCTCGGCCCCGCGCTGCTTGCGGGCCTTGCGGCCGGGGCCGCGCTTCTCCTTCCTAGTGGGATCGAGCTTCCGCCCCATGGCCGCGCCCGCTCTCCGCGCGGCTCCGCGCCCGCCGCCACCACACGTGCGGGGCTCCCCGTCGCACCGCGCACGCGCACGCCGCCGCACCGCCCATTGGCCGGAGCCGCCGCTCCTGCGCGCTGATTGGTCCGCACCGCAACGTCGGCGGCACCGCCCGGCCCCGGGACATGTGGGAGGCTCTGGTGCCGGCGCTGCCGGGAGCGGGGATCCCGCCACCGGCGGAAACGGGCAGTGTCAGCCTTCCCGGGGCACTCAGGTGGCAGCAGGCTGCTTTACACCCTTGGTTGAGTAAACACGGAAAACGCAGGCAGCAGAGAAGGGGAGCGGCACACAGGCAAGGTGAAAACAAGAATTCAGAGGTGAGGGGATATCACAAAACCTGCTCTCGGAGAGGAGGCTGAGGTTGAACATCAGGAGAAATTTCTTCGTGGAAAGGGGAAATGCCTGATAAATAGGGGAAGGGGCTGCCCATGGAGGTGGTGGAATCACCCTCCCTGAAGATGTTAAAGAAACAACAGGACGTGGCACTTCGGCAACTAGAGGAAGTGGTGATTGGTCACAGGTTGGACTCAGCTTTGGAGGTCTTTTCCAACCAGAACCCTTCTGTGGGACAGGACAGAGCCTGGCCCTTGAGTAAATACTTACCCAACCGGTCTAATGCTAAATAGAGACAACAAAATAAAATACAAGGAAACTTTATTTTTCAGTTTTATCAATGTTTTGCTCTGTTTTTTGTTGTTTTTTTTTCACTGTTGTTTGCTTTTGTCTTCAAGCTGTTTACTAGTGGATGAGTCCGGTCAGTTTTTGTATTAAAAAGGATTTTGATGGAGGTAGCTTTGTCTCTGTCCTGGCTTTTACTTGGTCTTGCCTGCGCACTCTTCTCAGTAAACAAACTCAAAATAAAATTAAAAACAAAAACTGGAATTCCAGGCGGAGGCAACGAGCAACACAGCCAGATTCTCTGTGTAACAGACATGGCGCTGGGGCCTCCAGTCACTATATACAGAGTCCATCATCCATCCATCCCCCTCTCTCCTAAACACACTCCTTGCTTCAACGGGCTGGCTGCAGAGGAAGGAGTTTCTTCTCCTCCCAGAGACCTGAGCAGCAGCTTCCATGGAGGGAAACAGCACCCAGTCAGGAATGTCAGGCAGAGGGGTAGAGTGTGAAGGGGTGGGGTGGGGTGGGGTCACTTCAGCTTGGCCGAAAGGTCAACAGCACTGGGCCAGGGACTCACTGCTGCTGGGCCACCTGTAGGGTGAGAGAAGAGGATCTGAGACTCGAGGGCTGGTCACCAGAGCCCAGCTTTGCCCATGGAGCCCCCCCCCGCCTCAGTAGCAATGCTTACTGACCAGAGAGGGTACGTACTTGTTGGGGTGGGGGTGGGGGCGGGGGCGGGGGCTCACTGCTGCGGTTGGCCAGGCGGCTGAGGATGTTGCGCTCCGACATCTGGAGGCGCACTGCCACGGGCGGGATACGGGCAATGGTGGCGGGCAGACGAGTCACATCTGCCTTCATGTCACTCAAAAGCTCCTCCAGCTGCTTCAGAACTAGAAGAGAAAGGGACATCTGTTCCGAGGGGAAAGGGACACCCCAGAGGGAAAAAACGAGAGGGGACAGTAATGGTAAGCACCTACCCCAGCCTTGTTTATCACACTGCATTACCTTTGTGCAGCACAGCATTGGCTGGTTTATTCCCGGCCATTGACTCCTTGGATAGATGCTGGTGGCTCTCAGCCAGGCATTCCACCTCTGCAAAACGTGTGTTCAGAGCCATAGAAGGGTGAGATGGGTCTTCAGACATGTTCAGATAGGCAGCTCGCCGCAGCTGCTCCTCGATCACCAGTGCCTGCTCCAAGAGCTGCAAGGGGGGGAGGAACGTGTCTTTCAGCAGCTGCCTGAAAGGGGGGAGCCTGTTTGCACCCCTAGTCTTACTCCGGTTCTTTACTCTCTCATAAGATGGGATTCTGCACCTGAACCTCCTTTCACTAGCCTCTTTTACTGTGTAGCCCAAAACAATAAAGGCTTCATGAAGCTAAGCCAGGTACACTAGAAAACCAGGCTACATCAGGTTTAATAAAAGGCTACTACAAATCCTCTAGGATTCTCATTCCTCCTCAGATTCTCTTTACAGACCAAGTTGTTTGCCATTTTACTCTTCCTTTGAGACAAAGGGGATGGAGATTTCTCATTGAACCCAAGTGAGAAGTGTCCCATGCTACTTACAGGAAGAATCTGAAATCTTGTAAGCATTTGGAGAAATCAACAAGAATCCTGTCAGTGCAGAACTGACCATCCAGAACATAATGAATTAATGTTTTGCCCAAAGACTGAGACCTATATGGCCTTTATTTGGATTGGTCTTAAATCACTCCCACAACTAAGCCATGTTCACTCCTGAAGAGGATGAGGTAAAGACTGAAGGCAACGCTTTCACCAATCCATACAGTTCTGTTTAGGCACATAGAGTAGGCTGTAGCAGACCAAGCAGAAGCTGTGATGAAAACAGCCACTTCAATCTTAAGCCTCCTGCATATCAGTTGTTGAATAAACATTTGGATAGAGAGCAATGAACCAAGCTCCCCGGTACCATTTCCAGAAAAAAGAGAGCTACTATCATGGAGCAACTGCATGACCCTAAGATATATTGATTCATTTTTTATTTACCCTAAAATGAAAGGCACTGCAGAAACCTTTTACTTTCTTAATGGAAACTCAGAACTGAAGCTTTTGTTCTTTAGAGGTCCAGCCAGTTATCAAACTGAAGACAAATTCTTACCTTAAATCTCCTTGCCAAGAACTTATTCTTTATTTCCAGGAAGTTACCCCTGTTCATCTCACCCTTGAAGGGTTCATTGAGGATGGCGTAACGTGGATCATTCTGAAT